AAAAAAAAAAAAAAAAAAAGACAGTCACACTGTACAGGCTAGAATTCTGCTGGCATGACAGCATGAGGAGTGCCACTGACCTGCTCCCTGGGAAACCGTGGAAATTATAAAAACAAACATTTAAAGTCCCTGGAAACAACCATTGAGGCAACAAAACAAGAACAAAAATACAACTTTTGAATCAAAAGAAAACTTGATCTGTCCAACAGAAAGCAAAGGAGAAAATGAAAATAAGTAAGAAGCACACATAAAGCAATTACAGTCCTGTACACTGACAAGGAACACGTGGAAACCAGAAGTAAAAGCATGATACCACTCGAATCCCTCTGGAAAAAATGAGGTAGTCAGATGTAAATTCAGCAAAACACAGACCAGATCTATGTGATAAAATTTATAAACTGCTGGCAAAAGAAATTAAAGAAGACCTAAATGCATGGAGAGATGGAAAACTCAATGCAGTAAATATGTCAGTTTCCCCAGAATTTATCTATAGGTTTAATGAAATTCCTGTCAAAATCACAGGATGGGTTTTATAAACATAGACAACCTTCACTCTCACACTCTCTCTGCATACGTGTGTGTGTGTGTATAAAATTTGGAGAAAAGACTAAAGTAGGAGAAATCACCCTAATTTCTAATTTCATGGCTTATTATACAATCAATAATCAAGACTAGGTGGTATTGTGGAGGAATAGACACAGATGAATGGAACAAAATGGAGAATCCAGAAATAGACACACACACCTACAGCCAAATGATTTTTGACAAAAACAACACAAAACAAAACCAAAAAATCAGGACTTTGGCCTCCAACAGGCCTTGGAAGAAAACTACACTTCCACCTTATGAGATTAACCACTCTGCTCTGGGAGACAAGTCTGGGCAGAGGCTTAGTCCCCACTGTGGCAATCATTCATTCATTCATTCATTCAGCTGACTCCCCCCCCAACCAGGACCTGCTGTGTGCCAGCCCTGTGCTGGTCCCTGGGAGGGGGTGCGGGACCCAGGCAAGGAGCTCTCAGCTCTTGTCCTGGGGCTCACATTACCCACTGGTTCTTAAAGCCTACGTCAGGGTCAGGGTCAGATGCCTTCAGAGCATCTGAAGTGAGTCAGGGCTTGAACCAGAATCCTGCCTTCTTAGTGAGTGCGTCCTCCCTTGGTGGTCTGAGTTCCTCCAGGCCACCATAGGAGAGTGCAGGAATAGGGGCATCGCTACTGCTTTTTCAACACCCCCAGCTGTGTAAGTTAGAAAGGCCACCCCGGTGGTAGCTTAGGAAGTCCTCCCACCTGTCCAGCTTCACGTGTGTGTCCTGCTGCTGTGGGAGCAGCCAGCCCCTACTGGGGGTCTCCCAGCCACCCCCACTCACCTGGGCCTGCCCTGCCCTGCTCTCAGCCGTGGGCCTGGAGCCTGTGGGAAAGTCATGTATCCAGAATTGCACAGAGGAGTCACACCATGTAATTAGCTCCACTTACAGCCAAAAGATGGCCCATAAAAACCTCAGTGTTTTCATGGTTTTGGGCTGGTGGGTGAAGGTGGTGGAGGAGAGAAACTCCCAAGGTGAGCAATAAACATCTTGCTTACGGGGGGGCGGGGAACCAACCCCCCCCAAAAAAACACTACATGCAAAAGCAATTCAATGGAGAATGGAGAGTCTTTTCAATAAAGGGTACTGGTATCATGCGGCATCCACAGACAAAAACATGAACCTTAGCCAGGCACAGTAGCTCACACTTGTAATCCTAGCCCGTTGGGAGGCCAAGGTAAAAGGATCACTTAAGCTTAGGAGTTGAAGACTGGCCTCAGCAAAAGGGAGAACCTATCTCAACAAAAAATAGAAAAATTAGCCAGGTGTAGTAGTGTGAGCCTGAAGTTCCAGCAACTGAGGCAGGAGGATCACTTGAGCCCAGGAGTTTGAAGTTGCTGTTTGAAGTTGCTAGGCTCATACTATGACACTCTAGTCTGGGCAACAGAGTGAGACTCTCAAAAAAAAAGTGAAACTTGACTACGTACGTGTCACACCTTACAAAAGTTAACTCAAAATGGAATATGAACTTAAATGTAAAACTATAAAATGAAATAAAA